ATGAGTTGGTCTCACTGCGCTTGTAAGTCAACCTCCGTTGCAAATGCGATGTGCTCGATGGAATAGCGTTTCTGCTATACTGCGCTTTTAGTTGATGAGCACGGAACTACGAAAGTATAGATAGTGGCCGATCTGTGTACTCTTGCGGTATGCAATCCTTTGTGGTCTCATTGTCATGATCCTTATTTATAGTTCCAAATCAGAGATTGAACAGCGGAAGCAAATTCAGGCGGTGAAGGTATTGATGATTGAGAGTTTGAATAGGAATGCACAACAACCAATGCAGTGCGAGCTACATAAAAGGGTATTTTCAGAAACTATATAACTTAAAGATTTAGCTAATTTGAATGGATGCAACCTCAAATAACCGTGAAAATAAAGAAACCTGGACTTTATTTAGAGACTCAGTGTAAACCAGTTCATGCTGTTGTTAAACCTTCTACCGACAGAGAAGCACTTCTTTAAGGAATTCTCGTATAAGATGACTAAGAATGGTATTCTATTGCACTAATCCGTCTTATTCAATAGGTATTGGATTCTTTTTAAATATTTTTCGCTTGGGATCAACCTGTGAACAGAGAATCTGATAAAATTTGGAATGATACCATAGATCTAATTAAAAATGCATCCATTATAATCTACCAGCTATAATATCCGGAAGGGATTAATATTTAATAAAATCTTTTAATGGCGATTCAGAAATATGCCCCTTCAATGGTAGTGGTGAAAATTTTAGACAATAATGATTTGAAATTTCGAAATATGTTCATACTCGCAGTTATCGAAAACAATAACTCTTGAACATATAAGTACATAGAGATTTTTGCTCAAAATTAATTTATTTTTCATCAAAATAAATTTTCTCCATAACCTCTTTTAAAAATCACCTGCAACATGTTTTATTTTCATTTCAAACGTATTCTACCATCTCCTACCTTTCAAACAGGAAATGACAGTGCGTGGTATGGAATCCGAATTGGCCCAATTAATGGCCAAGCATCAGGCTGAGATGCGCCACCTACGCCAATCTTGCGCAGAACAGGTTCAGGCGGCAGATGTTCGAGCCTATCAGGCCTACACGGGACAGATAGAGGAAATTCGTCAAACTTTGGCGCGGGAGAAAGAGGAGGCTTGTGCGAGAGAACGGGAAGCTGCTACGCAGAGGTAAGCAGGGTGCAGAATTTTCCTGTCCCGCTTTGTTTGACAGCTGCTCGTTGATATCTTATCTTACTTTTCGATGCGATTCTTTTTGTCCGGTTTGTCAGAGAACCATGTTAAAATGACTTACATTTCCGGATTGGGTGATGAGAGCTCAAATCCGGCCACAGCTTGTTCGCATCGGGTGTCCCTTGACTGATCGGTCTCGCTGTAGATCTTACGAGTATCTACTGGCCTAATAGTTATTGATCTGTATTTCACCCACTGACCCTGTAAATTGTGTTCACGGAATTGCAGTCAGCCCGTTCAGTGGCTTGTGTTCTTCGTAATCAGGGGCGCACAGTTACAACAGCTTTCTTCTTCAAGTCACTGTTCTTTTTCTTGCTAGATATAGCACTGCAAAAATTGTATTCTATTCGGTTAACGTATACAGTCATAATAGGTGCAGATTATATTCCTTCGACCGGTGAAAACTTAGAACTCTGTCAACCGAGTTACTCCTGTCAGTGTACGTCCGACAGCAGAACTCGATACCACTTCTCTTTGTTCAATTTATTACTTTTATCCACAATTCAGAATGCTTGTGGTCTCCGTCAGCAAGCAATCTAACGGTTCACATTCTGCACTAGTTACACAAGTATGTCTATTAATTTTAAAATTAATTATAGACTTGGGGTTTTTACAGTGATTTTTAATCGAAACCCCAGATGAAACATGTCTAATAGTGTATGCAGGTCTATTTACTTTTTGATTAGAAACCCGGAACAGGTGGGTCGATCCTTGGGTATACTTTTCGATACTCGTGCTAGTCTCGAATCGAGCATCGTTGCTTCAGGTGTGTCCGACTCAGATGTGCTCCTAATCCATGCGATTGGTTTGCACTCAAGGAAGTTGCACCTCGGGCAGACAAATGCCCGTTGCTTGTTGACTATTTTGCCTCTGAGTTTTGTGATTCGGTAAATGAAGAGGAATAATGAAGTTTGTCGATCGAGTTTCCGCTTTCAGTCAATCAGGCAAAAATAATTTCCGGATCATTCAAACCTGTAAATTTCTCTCTGATCTAGTTCAAGTAGCCGTTTCGTCTGAACGTGACTGTTTCAGCTTATTTTACAGTTGTGATCCCTACAAGAAACGCAACATTCGCAATTCAATTTGTTAATTAACCTGGGTGAGATAAATCAGGGTGAATAAAGTTTGTTCTATTATCTGTCAATGAATCGCATTAAGATCCTATAGCTTGCTTTTCGTAAGCATAAAAAATCTTAGTAACAAGTAAGTGACGTTTGAAAAATATGTTTTTCTATAGCTTCCTTTTCAGATCATTCATTACAACTTAATTTGTTACTGAGTCTATCTTTATTCGAAAAAGCTGTCGGTATATTCCTTTCATTAAGTTTTTTTCCGAAAGCCACCATTCTGCTGTTACTTCAACTGCAGATCGAAT